CACCAAAAATGTCAAGGGAGAGTGAAACTCACAATTCCAGCACTCAGGATGTGGAAGCAAGAGGATTAGGAGTTCAAGGTCAATTTAGACAATGCAAGGATTTCATGACTAGCCTGGGCTACATGAGAACCTATCTTAAAAGTACCGACAGGGCCATGGAGATGGTTTGTCTAGTAAAAGCATTTACCTGCAAGTCTCATGGCTTGATTGTGAACCACCAAGTACGGATGCTAGGTACTGAACTCAGGTCTTCTGCAAGAGTAGTAAGTGTTATTAACCACAGAGTGGTCTCCAGCCCCATGGAAGCATTTTCCCTCCTTAAATAAGATCTCAGTGGTGGTCATGTGCACCTTTAAACCCAGCACTTAGGAGGCAGAGGGAGGTGGATTTCTGAGAGTTCAAGGTCAGCCTGATCTACAGAATGAGTTCCAAGACAGTTAAGAGAGAGAAACCCTGTCTGGAGGGGGCGATATCTCACTATGTTTCTGTGTAACTTTTAAATTTTATTATATGTGTGTATTATGCTTTTGATCCTTTAAAGGGCAAGTCACACCCACTCCTGGCGACCCCTGACCTCTCCCCACCATCTTGGATCTTTTCTCTTACTGTCCTCTTGGGGTTGCATGTGTCTCCCCATTTCCCTCTCTCTTTCTCTCTCTCTCTCTGCTCTCCCTTTCCCCTTCCCCTCCATAACCCCCTGAATAAATATTTCAATCTCACTCTACATGTTGTGTCTATCCACGTCTCTGTCTCCTGCCCACCTGCCATGTGTCTGCCTGCCACCATATGGCCCACTTGCCGGGATCTTGCAGGGACCCACAGCCAGTCTCAGATGGGTGGATCGCAAGCCGCTCTCCCGGGACGCGTGGATTTTAAAGTATAAAAGTGTGTGTGTGTGTGTGTACACATGTGTATGCATGTCTAGATGTGAGCATGGAGGTCAGAAGACAATTTTCTTCTTCCACCATGGATTCCAGAGATTGAATTTACATGTGTTGAGCCAGCATGTAAGGTTGCTCACTGAGCCACCTTACCCAGGAAGACAGCTGTTTGCTGTTGTATTCAGTGTTGTCACTAGCCCTGGGTTTGACGCTCAGAACAACACAAACTGGTCTGGGTAATATACACTTGTACCATCAACTCTAGGGAGTTAGAAACAGGTGGATAAGGAGTACAAGGTCACCCTTGTCTACCCATCAAATTCAAGGCCGTCCTGGGAATAACAAAATCTTTGTTCTTCCAGATAATCTGAGTTCAGGTCCTAGCACCTACACAGTGGCTCACAACCATCCGTTAACACGAAGGGTATCTAACTCCCTTTTCTGACCTCTGAGGGATGCTTGTGGTGCACATAAATTCACCTAAGCACACATACATTAGAATAAAAAATTCTTTTAATTGAATTGTAAGATAGAAAAAGATTTGATTGTTAGTTCAGAAAATAAAACTTATATAATAGGTGAAAAGTTTCTGCACCTTAATAAGCCTTTCTGCCAACGCAGCAATCCAAATCAGACCAAATCAAACAATTAAAAAAAGCCCAGGTTAAGGGCTGGGCAGTGGTGGTACATGCCTTTAACCCCAGCACTCAGGAGGCAGGGGCAGGAGGATCTCTATGAGTTTGAGGTCAACCTGGTCTTCAGAGTGAGTTCCAAGACAGAGATACACAGAGAAGCCCTGTCTTGAAAACAAAAACAAAACAAAACAAAAGGCTAGGTAATGGTGGGAGGCAGAGGCAGAGGCAGAGGCAGGCGGATCTCTGTGAGTTCGAGGCCAGCCTGGTTTACAAAGCGAGTTCCAGGACAGGCTCCAAAGCTACACAGATAAATCCTGTCTTGAGAAAAACAAACAAACAAAACAAAAATTAAAAAGCCTAGGTTTAATGGATAAAAGACTTTCAGATGACTTTCCAGTACCCCGTACCCCCCACCCCACCCAGAGGAAACAGGAAAGAAAGACTAAAAAACCACGCTGTTTTCTGGGGGGCAGTTTAAGTACCCTGTGGGAGTGGTCTTGAGCATCTCTGGGGAGAGGTCATTGTTTGGCAGGCCTTCTGAGATGAAGCAGGGTTTGGAGAGTGCTAGGGGGAGGCAGCTTGGGGTGGAGCTTCAGCCTGAACATTCCAGGCTCTTTGGGTTTATGAATGCCAGGGCCTGGGGCGAAGCTTCCAGGAGAACAGTAGGTGTTAGAAGTTGTGAGAATGAAAACTATCTCATAGTTTATATCTCATGAACTTTCCCATAACCACCTCTACTAGAGGGAATTTTGTTATGTCACGTGGTAGACCAGATGGTTGCTTGGTGTCTCTTGGTCAGCTCTTGTAGGGCACATGGGTCTACTCCTCCTCTAGGGGTTCATCTTGAGGACAGTTTCTGGCCAGACATCTTGTTGTTTTTTCCAGCTAAACATCCTGTTTGTTCCTGTGCTCCCTCTGCGCCCCCCCCCACAATGGTGGTTAGCTACAGCTATAGGGCCATTGTTTACTCCATTTTGGGCTTGGTAATTTCCCACCTGCCTGGGGGGAATTCCTCTGTGCAGCAGTTAGGTATATTAAGGGATTTCCTAAGCTTGAATAAGCGGCATTTAGCATTATCTCCTCACAAGTGACCCAAGTCTCTTGTGTGTTCTTTTAATCTCCAGGCCCTTGCCTGGCTCGCGAATGGTACAGTAGTGCGAATTGTACCGTAGAGAGTAACACAGGCGTTGTTACAAGCTCTTCTCTGGATATTTCGGCTCCTAAGCAAAAATAGCCATGGAAGACCATAATAGATTCAACTCACCAATCTTAGCTTGTCACATCATCAACGACTGCAAATCTTGCTGGTGGCAGCAACACTTGCTGAGCCCCCAAGGAAGCACAGTGTACTATGGAGGCCAGGCAAATACCCAGGCTTCTACATTGGGCCTCTCCTAACATGGGTTGGGCAATATGTTTCTTCTCCATGGAATAAGTAACTCTGTTCTTGTTATTTGCTTTTCTTGCCCTTTTCACTTCTGCCAAATGCAGCCTGTGTGTGCACAATGAATGGTCCTATTCACCATTCACCATCGTGTTAAAGCACACAGTACTGCTTCTGATCAAGGGACTGTTTATTTAGAAGTTGGTTTGTGTTTGGAGAGGGGTTGTTCATGTACCACAACACTCCCAAAGCAGTCAGCCTCCTAGAACACAGGCACAGCCTATTGGAAAGGCGGTAAGAGTGACAGATTGGGGGGCATTTGGGTAAACACTGAACCAGTAGCACATACATGATCCCAGGTTACACAGGTCTGGGAACCCAAGAGTAACATTTCTTCAAAATCACACCCTGTGATTCACTCTTCAAATGTTTGCAAACTGGGCTGGGGAAAGGTCTCAGTGGTACAGAGCTTACCTAGCATGTTTGAGGCTGGGGGTTCGATCTTTAGCATCACACATGTATGCACCCCAGATTATTCTTGTATCTTGTTCATGTTACCCTGAACACTGAGATGTTTTGTTTGTTATTTGTTGTACATTTGTGCATGTGTGTGTGTGTATGCATGTGTTGGAATGCATGCCACAGTGGACATGTGTCAGTCAGAAGAAAACTTTTGGGAATCAGTTCTCTCCTTCTAGCACATGGGTTCTGGAGGTGGAATTCGGGTCATTAGGCTTGACTTGATCCACTGCTCCTGCTCCTGGGGTTCATTTTGAGGACAGTCTCTGGCCAGACAGCTAAACATCCTGTTTGTTCCTGTGCTCCTTCTGCCCCGCCTGGTGATTAGCTATAGGGCATTGTTGACTCCATCTTGGGTGTGGTAATTTTCCACCTGCCTGGGGGCTATTCCATTGTGCAGCAGCAAGGTATTTAAGGCTTTCCTTAAATTTGAATAAACAGCATTCAGCTGATCTCCTTTCGAATGACCCAGGTCTCTTGTGTGTTCTTTCAATCTCCAGGCCCTTGCCAGGCTCCCATATGGTACAGTGGCATGCGAACTGTACTGAGAGGGTAACACAGACACAAGGGTTACACATCATCTCTGTACAGGAAATAGTTCTACCACAGGATATGGCATGGTAAGTTGTGTAAACTAAGACTTCTGTAGACCACTCGAGATGCCTCCAACTTCGTGGTTGTGTGGCTTACTTAGTAGAAGGGGGAGAGAGCTGTTACTGATAGAAGGGGAAGAGAGATATTACTAAGCCTGAACCCCAGTGCTAACGAGGCTTGTAAATAGAATCTATGGGAAACACAACACGTTATTTTTAGACTATATAGGTTTATTCTCTGCGTGTGTGTGCATGTGTGCACACGCACGTGTGCAAATGTCTGATGCTGGACCTATTAAAAACTTCTCAGCAGGCTGAAGAGATGGATCAGCAGTTAAGAGCACTTATCTTGTAGAGGGAAGAGGGTTCAATCACCCACAAAGGTGGCTCATAACCATATGTAACTTCAGTTCTAGGAGATCTGATTCCCTCTTCTGACCTCTAAAGAGACCAGGTTTGCAAGTGGTGCACATACACACATGAAGGCAAAACACTCAGACACATTAAAAACTAATAAATCAAAAAAATAAATAAAAACAAACAAAAAGCAAAATCCTGCCTTCCACAGACCAACAAGATACCTCAAGTGGATAGAGGCACTTGCTAACCAAACTGATGACCTGAGCTGGATCCTCAGATCCTACATGGCGGAAGGAGAAAACTGACCCCACAAATTGTCCTCTGACTTCCACATTTGCACTCTAACACATAAAATAAGTAAACGTGTGTGTGTTTAAACTAAACTAAAACCCTCCCTTATGCAGGCCAGAGGATGACGAAGAGGGTCTTTTTGTGTGTCTTCGCGGGAATGCAAAGTGAGTTGCAGCTCTTCACCTACCCATTCCCTATACCTCGGTCCCCACCCCCACTCCACCAATCCCTAAGCAAGCGCCCAGGTCCCCCCTACAGCTCCTCCCTCCTCCGTAGGGCACGTTGCTGGCGGTTCTGTGCTCCTGGACCCCTTCCGACCCTTCCCTTCGCAACGTTCCTGGATCCCACTGTTGGGCTGAGCCTCTAAGCCTCCTTAGACCTTCTGGAAGACGACCAGAAGCAGCCGCGGGGAAGAGCCTAGCATCTGCAGCCAGCCGCCACTAGGCCCCGCCCAGCAGCAGCGGAGCAGGGCCGCGCCCGGGACCGCTGCAGAGCGGGGTGAGTGAGAGCGACTAGGAGGGAGGGAGCCAGGTATCCCGGGTCCCCGCCCTGCCCAAGGGGCCGGCGGCGCGACCTTCAGCTCCCTTTCCCATTTGGCTCAGTCCAATCTTTCAGGTCCTCAAATCCGACGGGAAAAAAAAAAAAGCCCAATCCTAAAGCCCTTCCCTGCTTTGCCCCCTCCTCCTCGGGACACCACGGGGCCCGCCGTATCCCTCCCATATGGTAGAACCCAGAATTCAGAACTCCAGGCTCTAGGCCCGTCCTCGTAAAGATTCTGAGTCCCTCCCTGTTTCCTGAAGGCAGGAATGCTAGCCAAAAATAGCTCGCCCTTCGAGACTCAGGAGACTCAGCAGACAACCAGCCACATATATTCTGAAAACCATCTGATCGTTCAGAAGTCTGGGGACACCCCCCCCCCAGATTTCCAGTAATTTAGCTACTGTTCATCACCCCTTCGCCTCTCTTGACTGTGATCTTCTGAGGCGTAGCCCAGTCCTCTTGTCGCAGTTACAGTGTATGGCCCACTCCGGCCCACTCCCGTCTAGGAAGACCCCCCTAAACACAGAAATATGGTCTTTGTTCTTTGCGGGTGGAGCCTTGCTACTCAAGGTTGCTTGCTCAGAACTCCTAAAAGCTCTAGGCCTGGCACCCTAAATTCCTTTCTTTTTCAGGTAGACAAGACCCTAGTCCATAGATTCCGTTAAACTATGAGGTCTGGTCTTAAATACGCTGCGATCTGGATATAATTTTTTTTTCCTTCGGTCAGCGTTTGGGATCAGATAGACAAGGACAGAGAAGCAGAGAGAGGGAGAATTGAATGAGGGATAAGACTAGGCGTGGGTACCCAAGCTGGGGGCGACGGGGGTGGGGTGGGGAAGGGGGCTCTAAAAACAAACCGTAAACATGTAGGTTTCTACGGCAACGGCATTCTCGGGCCTACCCTGGAGAGTTCATTCTAGAGCTATGTCAAGGAGGATAGCCCCTGGGAGCCCCCGCGCCGCCAGCTGCTGTGTCTTCCTGTTTTGTCTCCACGGCAACGGTGACCTCAGCCCTGCACCCCCTCCCTGGTTTGGCTAGAAATAGGCGACGTTCTAGTCTTTAGAGGGGCGTGGTGTGACATTAGCCCCGCCTTGGGGGCCGACCAGGGATAGCCCAAGCGGAGGGAAAGTACCCCCCCTTCACCGCCCAAATCAGACCCAAGCCCCGCCCTCAGCCCCGCCCTCGCACGCTTCTCAGATGGTCAACTCCACCCAGGCCAAGACCCTTCTGGTCTGCAGCTGTTGCTCTGTTTCTGCCGCAGACACCACTGACTGGAGAGGTGAGACTGCAGGGACCCCGAAGGGAAGGAGTGGTAGCCCAAGATCCTGGGGTCTAGAAAGAGAAGTGAGCAGGGATTCAGATGTCTGGGTCCCTAGAAACACTCCCATTTGAGCCAGAACTCTGAGCTCATACAGGTCTTAGAAGGTAATGAGAAGGGATTAGAGAGTGGGCACTTGGGTCTGAGGTAGGACGGTGAGGGTTGAGCCCCTGAGGCTGAGAAAGGTAAAATGGGGTCTGGAATACTAGGTAAGACCGAACAGGCCTGGGATCCGAACTTAGATGGGTCTTGGGGCACGGAGGGATGGATTTGGGGCTTAATCCGGAGGAGGGCGGGGGGGTCTGAATTTGTTTTGAGGGAGGAGGGACTGAGTTCTGAACTTGGCGTGAAGGAGGCGAGTGCGACTGGGATCCGGACTCTAGGGTTTGAAGACCTGGAGAGATGGAGTATAGATCCCTGAATCTGAGGATACGAGGTTTGCATCTGGTGCCCAGAGGTGCTCAGGAGGGGGAGAAGTTCGTGGTCTGAACCTCCTTCCAGAGGCCCTATATGGGCAGTTGGAGTGTGGGGGGAGCTGTGGCATTAAGGCTGTGTCCACTGATGGTGTGGGGCGTGGCCGGGAGTCTGATCAGGGCAGTGCCCGAGTCTATGGTATGATAGATGACCTCAGGAGTGTAGCTGGGGGAGGGGGGGTGGTAGCAGGGGTGCTGGGTGTGGCCCGGGAGAGTGGAACTAGATCTAGGAGGAAGCTCAAGGGGCGTTTCCTTGCCCTGCTTAGGTCTTTGAGCATTCCTGAGCTCTGATTTCAAACAGTGCTAGAGGCCCTCTTGAGGGGCAAGGGCGTCATCACTCCTTCTCTTCCTCCTTTCCTAAACAACGTTCCTCCAGGCCTAGGGATTTATGCTCTTCTTCCCTCCTCCTCCAATGTTTATGGCGGGACAGTAGCCTACTTTTTTTTTTTTTTTTTGAAAGACGTGTATAACCTTGATTGTCCTGGAACTTGCTCTGTAGACCTTGCTGGCCCTGAGCTCGCAGAGATCCGCCTGTCTCTGCTTCCTGAGTGTTGGGATTAAACGCAATCAGTAGCCCACTTTTTCCAGTGCCGGGTATGGGACTAATCCTGGCTTCCCATTAACCGTTCCAGGCGAAACTGAGTTTCTCCCTTCCTGTGGCTTCTACCAGGTGAACTAGCACTGACCTGGGAACCTACATTTATTGTGTGTACCTAATTCTAATTTAGCATGAGTTTTACAGCCTGGTGCTGGGAAAGCGATGCGTCCTCCAGTTTAGCAAGGCGCATTTGGAGCATTTTAAAGCGAGTTCAGGTCTGGTGGGTACTCAAGAGTTTTATTTCCCTAACCACATACCCACTGGTTGTTGGGGGTTGAACCCAGTACCTCCACCTACCTCACCACTACCGATCTCCCTCTTCCCTTTTTTGTTTCTTTGTTTTGAGTTTTGGTTTGTCTTGAAGTCTATGGCTACAGGAAGGCCTTGAATTTCCAATTCTGCCTTTGCCAGGGTTCTGGGAATACAGTCCTGCGCTACCAGGCCAGACTCATCTCCATTCCATTCTTGGAGGGACAAAAACAAAAAAGATAAAATAAAAATTCCCAGTACTTGGGAGACAGAGGCATGCGGATCTCTGTGAGCTCCAGGCCAGCACATAGTGAGCGCCAGGCGAGCGAGGGTTATAGAGCAAGAGCTTGTCTCAAAATAGATTTTTAACTTTGCATGGGGTTTGGGACGCACGTACCACAAGGCGTGTGTGGAGGTCATAGGACAACTTGTGGGAGTCAGTTCTGCCTGGCTTCCAACTCACTTTTCAAGGAACCACACACCCTCCCGCCTCCTCCTAGAACCCAGGTTAACTAACTCTCTCTCTCTCTCTCTCTCTCTCTCTCTCTCTCTCTCTCTCTCTCTTTCTCTCTCTCTCTCTCTTCCTCTCTCCTCCTCCCCCCCTACACGCGCGTACACGTACAGCCAGTCTCCAGTCTCTAGGTAGGGTGTCACGGAGGGGTGTGTAGCCTCCGACTGGGTCTCCTGGATTTTGGCACAACCTCCTGGTCCCTGCCACATCGCCCAGGCTGAGGCGACTTAAAGCCCTTATAAGGCGCGGAGACGCCGGGCCGGGCGAGGCTGGGCTTCCCGCTCTCAGAACCTCCGCCCTGGGATCTCTTGCAGACTACAAGGCTGGGCTAAATGGTTAACAGCACTCACGCCCCAGCGGTCCCGAGGGCCGGCCCTTTGTCCACATTTGCTTCCACCTCGCCCACGCGGCTAGTCCTAGGGGAGGGACAAGAGGGCGGTGCTTTCTCCGGTTACCCTCTGAGACCTCATCCCGGGGCCTGCCGCCAAGTATGCGTCCCCACCGGGAGATTTGTCCCTGCTGTAGCGTCTAGGGCTTGGGGTCACGGTGCTGCAAGGGAGGACAGTCTGAGTTCCGTCCTGACTGCCTTTCTCCTCCTTAGGGCTTCTGTTCAGCCTTTTCCAGGTGCTCAACCACTTCCGCCTTCGCAGCGTGATCTTTCCCCTTCCAGTCTTCGGTTAAGACAGCAGGTGAGTGTGCTAGTGGCCCCTTTTCCAAGTTCTTGAGAGTGGAGCAGTTGTGGTCCAGATTATAATTACAGTGCTTGAAGGCTGTGGTAGGAAGAGCTCCAAGTTTAAGGGAAAAGGCTGGGGGGTTCTGGATCGGGAGTCTAAGACAGGAGGGTCTAGGGTGCTTCCCTTTTGAGTCAGATGGAGGAGGGCCTGAAGCCTGGACCCCTGAGTCTAAGAGCGAAGTGCTTGGAACCTGAACTTCTGAGTCTATGATAGGAGGGCTGGTGATTTCCTGGGTCTTACTAAGGGAGGTTGGCCAGGAATATTGAACTGGATCTACAGGATCTAGGGCCCCATCTCTGGGTATGAGGGAGGAGGGGAATGGTGCCTCGATTCCTAGATCCCCGATAGAGGAGGGACCTGGTAGGGTTCCAGAGGATATAATCAGAGTTACCCATGTGCCTAAGAAGTTGTATCCAGGAGCTGGCTCCTGTGTACTTTTGGGAGCTCTTCTGGGACAGTGTGAGCTTCTAGAGGTTAAAGCCTGCCCTTTTGTCTTTCCACGGGCCTGACCTTAGCATGATTTTTCCTGAGGGAAAGTTAGGAATAACTTATGCTTGTCTCAGAGCATAAGATATCATACCGCAGGTGGGTGGTGGGAAACACCTTTAATTCCAGCACAAGGGAGGCAGAGACAGGCGGATCTCTGTGAGTTCCAGGGCAGCCTGGTCTACAGTGTGAGTTCCAGGACATCCAGGGCTACACAGAGAAACCCTGTCTCAAAAACAAAAAAGGATGATGGACCAAATAATCTGTTAAGCCAGGTGCAGCCTGCTGAGCCAGTGACTTGATTGGGATACTTACAGGGAGGGGCATGGACATCACTGAAAAACCCACCCCAGCATGGGTGATGAAAGATATATTCCTGGGTCATAGGTCGGTGGGCCTTGTACCTTTTACGCATGCATAGCCGTAGATGTGAGCGCGGGAAGATCCCTAATTTAGGCCACGTGTGAATAACGCATGCATAGCCGCAGATGTGAGCGCGGGAAGATCCCTAATTTAGGCCACGTGTGAATAAGGGTGATGTGTCCCGGCTGGACCATCCCAGCAACCAAGGAGTTGGCGTGGGTGTTTGTGTGAAACTTCAAATTGAAATATATTTTCAGTATATAGCCCATATAACCCAGGTTGGCTTTGAACTCCCTAAGTAGCGAAGAATAGTCTTGAACTTCTGATCTTCTAGTCTCTACCTTCTGTGTGCTAGCAGTCATGTACCACCACACCTGGTCCATCCTATGCTGAGGATCAAACCTGGGGCCTCATGAGCCTTAGCCAAGCCCTCTACCAACAGAGCTGTAAAGTCATACCTTCCATGGTTTGATTTTAAAATGCAGCCATGCTGAAATACTTCATTCAGGGTAACTTGAATGAATTCGTGTTCATGACCTGTTCGGCTCAGAATGAACTATCATGCCATTTATTTATTTATTTAATTATTTGGTTTTTCGAAAAAGGATTTCTCTGTGTAGATCTGCCATCTGCAACTCTGTAGACCAGGCTGGCCTAGAACTCAGAGATCCACCTGCTTCTGCCTCCCAAGAACTGGGATTAAAGGCATTCACCACCACTGCCCAACTATATTCACCCTCCACATTCCACCCCCAATCCAATGAAATATCCACCACCCACCTGCACCCCATCTACTTAATTGTTCAATGTCATCCTCCTCATCCCCCCCCCCCCCCACACACACACAGGGTTTTTCTATAGCTTTGGAGTTTGTCCTGGAACCTGCTCTGTAGACCAGGCTGACCTCGAACTCACAAAGATCTGCCTGCCTCTGCCTCCCAAGTGCTGGGATTAAAGGTGTGTGCCACCACTGCCCGGCTTGTGTGTGTGTTTCTGTGTGTGCATACCCGCGGCAAGTATACGGAGGTCAGAGGACAATTTGCAGAATTCAGTTCTATTCACCATGTGGGTCTTGCTCTGTTGCAAGTTCCTTTACCAGCTGAGCATCTACTTTGGCTCAGGTCTTCCTAGCTTTTGAGTCATTTGAGCTTCTCCCCTCCCTCCAGCAGCTGATGTTCAAGTCAGAGGAAATAACTGTAGAATGATACTAGCAATAAGGAAGTTTTATTTCCCAGGATCTGGGAACCACCTCCCCAGCATCAGCTGAGAGGTCAGACAGTCATACAGAGGAGGACTCTGGCATCTGGTCCCTGTTCTGAGTTTCCAGAATAAGGAAATAGAAGCTGTGGTTTGTCACTGGAAAAAAAGGTGGTAGTCCTTCTACCCCCATCCTATGTCTGGGTGACATGGGAGAGTCAGAAGAGTGAGAGGCCTGTCCTGAGCTCCAACCCTGCAGGACTGATCTTGAAAACTAGACATTTCAGTGGATGAAGCTGGGCCACTGAAGGGTAGGAGTGGAGGGAGTTGGATTTTCCTGAACTTGAGGAACCTGTTGACTGAGTCCCTATAGGAAGTGATAGGCTTACTGATAGGAAAGAGGAAACTGAGCTGTCTTTTGATCTGTTTCCATGTCTGAAGTAGGATTAGGGGGAGGATGGGTGAAACTTAGGGGAGAAAGAAAACTTGATGTTTGGATCAGAGGTCTCTGGGAGGGCAGTGAGAAGGATGGAGGTCCAGCGCTCTGGTTAGATGTGGGAGCTGGAATTAAAGTTGGAATATTGGATGTGTAGGGGCTGCTAATATCTAGGTTGCTTTTACATAAAAGAAATCTTTTTTTGCGGGGAAGTGGTGGCACACGCCTTTAATCCTAGCACTCGGGAATCAGAGACAGGCAACTCTTAGTGAGTTCCAGGCCAACCTGTGGTCTACAAAGAGAGTTTCAGGACAGCTGGGGCATTTATACAGAGAAACTCTGTGTTATACTCAAAAGAAAAAAGAAAAAAAGTCTACTCACAGGGCATAAAGTATGAGGAAGTTGGAGTCTTGGCTGTGGAGAAACTAGAGATGCCTGGCTTGCTGCAGGGGGCAAAGGGGGAACTCTGTTCACAGGGCCTGGGGTATAAAGCCCTGGGTCATGCAGAGGAGGAAATGACACAGGCAGGATCTTAGACCATAATCTTTCTGTTGCTTTTTTTTTTTTCCTGGTGGTCCTCACTGAGGGTTGAATGAGCTTTCATATATATATATTTTAAAGGTAGACTTTCATTTTATAGCCCAGGCAGGCCTAGATTAGTTCAGGCTGGCTTCTATCTCACGGTAACCCTACCTCCACCTCTGAAATGCTAGGTTCACAGTCTGCACTTCTGTACTTGGTCTGTGCAGTGCAGGAGTTGGACCAGGCCTTCCTGAATGGTAGGCAAGCATGTTATCAACTGAGCCACATCCCCAAGACCACAGTCTTAGGTGTGTGTTTGGGGTGGGTTCTGTATGCACACATGTGGAGGTCAGTGGCGACTCGGAGGAGTTGGTGCTCTCCTTCCGTCCACCAGGTGTCTCCCAGGGATCCAGTTCAGTTTGTCCAGTATGACAACAAGTTCCTTTGTCCACGGTCTCCCCGGCCCACCATACTCCAGCAGTCGAGAGGTTGCTGAGTGCCTGGGGAAGGAGAGCAAGAAGTGCTGCTTTGGGTCTCTGGATTCTGAGTTCTCTCACAGGAAGATTTGGGATGAGCCTAGAACCTAGATGACCGATTTATTTGTTTGCTTTGTTTTGTGTTTTGTTTTTTCAAGACAGGGTTTCTCCATGTAGCTTTGAAGCCTGTCCTAGAACTCACTGTGTAGACCAGGTTGGCCTCGAACTCAGAGATCCATCTGCTTCTGCCTCCTGAGTGCTGGGATTAAAGGCGTGCGCCACCAGCACCCGGCTGATCAATTAATCCATTCTTTTAGTTTATAAACAAGTTCCATTTCCCCCCCCCCCCTTCATTTGATAGGGATTCTCTGTGTAGCCTTGGCTGTCCTGGAACATGCTCTGAAGACCAGGCTGGCCTCGAACTCACAGAGTTCCTCCTGCGTGCTGCTAATAAAGGTGTTCACCACCACTTCCTGACTAACAAATTCCTTATTTTGAGACATACCCTTTTCAGAGTTTAGAGTAATTGTTCCAAGACAGATGAGGAGCTTGGTGTCTGGATTCCTCGGTATGAGACCTTATCCAAATGCTTTTGTTTTTTTTTCTCAGCCATGCCGGTAACAGTAACCCGCACCACCATCACGACTACAACGACATCATCCCCCACTATTGTGGGGTCCCCTCGGGCACTGACGCAGCCCCTGGGCCTCCTCCGTCTCCTGCAGCTAATCTCCACTTGTGTGGCTTTCTCACTGGTAGCCAGTGTGGCTGCTTGGACTGGGCCCATGGGTAACTGGGCCATGTTCACCTGGTGTTTCTGCTTTGCTGTGACCCTCATCATTCTTATCGTGGAATTAGGTGGACTCCAGACCCGCTTCCCCCTGTCATGGCGAAACTTCCCCATCACCTATGCCTGCTATGCAGCTCTCTTCTGCCTGTCGTCCTCCATCATATATCCCACTACCTATGTGCAGTTCATGGCTCACGGACGTACCCGGGACCACGCCATCGCTGCCACCACCTTCTCCTGTGTCGCCTGTTTGGCCTATGCCACTGAAGTGGCTTGGACTCGTGCAAGGCCTGGTGAGATCACTGGCTACATGGCTACGGTGCCAGGGCTGCTCAAAGTCTTCGAGACCTTTGTAGCCTGTATCATCTTTGCCTTCATCAGCGAACCGTTTCTGTACCAGCAAAAGCCGGCCCTGGAGTGGTGTGTGGCAGTCTATGCCATCTGCTTCATACTAGCTGGGGTGACCATCCTGCTCAACCTGGGGGATTGTACTAACATGTTGCCCATCCCTTTTCCCACCTTCCTGTCAGGCCTGGCCTTACTGTCTGTCCTCCTGTATGCCACTGCCATTGTCCTCTGGCCCCTCTACCAATTTGATCAGAGGTATAATGGCTACCCCCGGCGTTCCTTGGATTCCAGCTGCGCTTATACACACCCGCACTCGGTGTGTTACTGGGACCGCCGACTGGCGGTGGCCATCCTGACAGGTGTCAACCTGCTGGCGTACGTGTCTGATCTGGTGTACTCCACTCGTCTGGTGTTTGTCAAGGTCTGAGGTTAACAAGGGGCTCCCCTCCCCGTCCCTTCTTGCGGCCTCTTCATCTGATTACCTAAGATTTTGGTACCGTGCTATTTCCTCTTCCTACTTCCCTCCTATTTGCTCTTTCTCCTATGTATTCTTCCTGACTTAATGTTCCCTTTCCTTGTTTCTTTTTCTTCCCTTTCCTCTTCCTGTTTGCTTCCCCATATCCTGTTTTGCCCCTGAACTGTCTCCACAGCTTTCTGCCTTACTTCTTTCGTATTCTTGTTTCTGCCTGTTTTCCTGGGAGCCCTCAGAATTCTTGCTTTCTCTCCCTCACTCCTCAAAGGTGCTGGCCCCACACATCCCATACTTCTTTGCAGTTCTTCACCCCATGGGCCTCTTTTGGGGCCTCATTGCCAAAGCATGTCTGCCTGCCTGCCTGCCTGCCTTAGCTGTGCCTTAGTATGTGTGTGTGTTAAAGTGGTTGGGGAGCAGGCTGTATATTGTGCCTCTCCTTTAAGTTCAAAACCCTGGAGGTCAGTGATTCCCGGTAGCCAGGAGTCATTAAGCAGAGAGCCTGTCTCTACCTGTCACTCAGTTTTGCTTAAAATTGGCTCTTGAATTTTTACCAGATTTCCTGAAAACCTGTCTATCCTAGATGAAGCAAAGGATGGATGCCTTTTGCTGAATTATTCTCTGTGCTATCCAAAAAAACAAGCATAAAAAACATCAAACAAAAATCCACCAAAATAGCCACATGGTCTTAAAGACAACTCTGAAGTATTTCTGAGGGACAGTCATGGTACCCTCCTATCTCAGTGTTAAAAATAACATGACCTGCTTTAGCATGGAGAAGAAAAACGGCCTTTGCCAGCCTTAAAGGCATTATGAGCCTCTTTGATTTTTTTTTTCCTGAATACAAAGGCAAAAACAAAACAACTAAGAAGCTTTTTGGGTTTTTTGTTTGTTTGGTTTTTCGGAACAGGATTTCTCTGTAGCTTTGGAGCCTGTCCTGGAACTCGCTCTTGTAGACCAGGCTGGCCTCGAACTCACAGAGATCCCCCTGCCTCTGACGAGCGCTGGGATTAAAGGCCTGCACCATCACCCACTGCCCGGCTTTTTATTATTATTATTATTATTTTTAAGGTTTTTGAGACAGGGTCTCATATAGCTCAGGCTGGTTTCAAAGCTGTGTAGCTGAGGCTGCCCTTGAATCCTTGGTCTTCCCATCTCCACCTTCTGGGTGCCGAGATTACAGGTGTACTACCACACCCCAATTGTGTAACCTCATTCAGGAGAGAAGTTCCTTAACTCTTAACAATCTTTTCTTTGGGGGGTGGGGGCATCAGGGTTGGAATGGCTTGTGTGTGCTGCACACGCACCCAGGTCTGTGTGTGTTAGTTGCTTCTTGCTGCTGCTTTTCTGCTTCTCTGGGACTCACATGCATTACTTGGTATACATATATATATATTATAAGTGTATAAATATATATTTTATTTTTTTTAATTTTCTGGAGCTTTGCTAGCTCCTACTGTCAGTCATCCCCTCCCACCTATCCCCCATATCCATAATGTTCTTTTTTAAAATCTCAATATAAAGATAACAGGAAGACTCATGCTTTATTTATCATGGCTGGGGGGAGTCTGGGAAGGTGGGTGGGAAAGGCTCAAAGAGAGGGTTGAGACCCAGATTCTTTAGATTGATGGCAGAGGGGTGTTGCGACTAAGAACCTTGGCCTCATCAGAAAACAGTGGCAGTGTCTGGAATTTTTTTTCCCTTCTTTTAAGACCGTCTCATGTAGCCTAGACTGACCTCAAAATCACTATGTAGCCCAGGATGAACTCAAGGCCTGCCTCTGCCTCCAGTGCTGGGATTGCAGGCATGAGCCACCACACCCCGTTTATGTAGGGCTAAGGACTGAACCCAGAGCTCAGCATTGCTAGACTTCACCAACTGAGCTATGTACCATAGTCTGTTTGTTTTTCAAATTATTCTGTAAAACCATGAGAGCTCGGAGGTTGGCTAAAGGCACATGCTTCAGCATCTGACTTTGAATCCCAGTATCCATGGAATAAGCTGAGCATCCCGCAAACTCACGCAACACTCCTGCCATGGTTGGGGAAGGGGGGACAGAGACAGGAGAATCACTGGGACTTGCTGGCTTCCTGCCTCAGAGTGCAGGAAGGTGACTAGATTACTCTTTTCTGGCCTCTATGCCCACATTCACACAGACATTTATCATCTTTTTAAAGAGGGCAGAAACCAGGAAGGTGGGCTAAGAACGGCATGAACATGACTTCTCCCCCAGAGAGTCGCATGAGTACTTAAGACATACAAAGCACCATGGCTTGGCAAGCGGCTTGCTTAGCATGTACAAGGCCCTGGCAGTTCTCTTCCTAGCAACGCACACAGATTCTGGAGGAAAACCTCAGAAATCCAGTGTCCTGGGGCTAGAGGGGGTGTCCTTGCAGTTAAAAATGCTTGACCTCAGTCCACAGCACCCACATCAGCAGCTCACAACAGTTTCAAGAGACTGACAGCTCAGAGGTTAAAACTGCTGACACCCTCTGGTCTCCGCCACTCACACTGACTTATACAAGTAAGCCTTAAAAAAAAAAAAATCCAGCGTCCAAGCTGAGCACGTCAGCACTTGGGAGGCAGAGGCAAGCAGATCTCTGGGTTCAAGGCCAGCCTGGTCTACAGAGCTAGTTGCAGAACAGCCATTTCTACCCAGAGGACAAAACAAAACCCATGTATTCCAATTTGAGTGCAATGGCTTTCTCCAAAATTCACTCCTTTCCCCCATGTTTCCCAGCATAGACTCTTGGCAGTTCATGGACACCATTCTTTCTCCTGAGTCCCACTCATATCTGCCTCCTCCTTGACTACCCTCTGTCCAACTTAACCTTTCCCCAGAGGGGCCCACTCCATCCAGTTTTGATCCTGCCCATCCCTGCTGAAATCCACCTGAATAAGGTATCACATACGGAAAACACACACACATAGATTCCAGGATCAGGTTGGAGAGATGGCTCAGGGGTTAAAAGCACTGGCTTCTCTTCCAGAGGGCCCAAGTTCAACTCCCAGCACCCACATGGCAGCTTACAACTGCTTATAACTCCAGTTCCAGGTGTCTCGCACCTTCACAGGCAAAATACTAATGCATATAAAAATAAATAAATCATTTTTTAAAAAAATTCCAGGATTATCTGGGCGGTGGAGTATGCCTTTAATAACAGCATTTGGCAGCCTAGTCTACAAAGCGAGCTCTGGCAGAGCCAGGACTGTTAAACGAAGAAACTCTGTCTCGAAACACCAAAAAGAAAAAATTCAGGATCACAGGATCATACCATCCTTTTTTTCCCCACCTGTAACTTGGAAAACGAAGGACATGATTGCTCTTAGGTGTGGTGGAGGAGGTTTATTGTAGAGAAAAGGGAGAACATAGCCAGAGAAAAACATTTGGGAGAGTTCACAGTGAACAGGGTCAAGCTGGGCACTGTGAGGAGAGGGGGGAGGGGAGAGCCAGGAGACCAAGAGGTCAGGGCAGTAAAGGGTAGACAGAAGAAAGTTAGCTGGGTTATAAACGGAAGGACAACTGGGGGAAGGGCATTTTATCCTCGGCTGGAGAAGTTCAGGGTAGGGATTGGGGTATGCTAGCCATACTCTACTAACAGGTAGGGACTGAGGAAGGCAGGGAGAACCTGGCTGCCAGGTCTGCTTTGATATTTTAAATAGGGACGTCAGTTAGCCTTTTGACCCGGGTTTAAGATTCAACAGGAAATACGTAGGAGAAGGGCCAGTTAGGACACGCACTCAAGGCGAAAGAAAAAGTTTATTTATTTATTTATTTATTTATTTATTTATTTTTTAGTGTTTACCAAGACCTAAGTGCATGAATCCCTATTTTCAAGAGGGCATCACACCCACTCCTTCCCCGACCCGGTTCAGAATACCTTCTAGAAGATACCAGAAAGAACAGCTAGAGGGTTGTGTTGGTGGATCAGTCGGTACAAGGTCCTCGGTCTAATCCTCAGCACCTGAACACTCAGGCTGTGGTAAGCCACGTACACCTAGAGGTGGCTTGCAGGGTGGGCAGGGAACTCTGCGTTCAGCGACGGGTGTTTAAGGGTTGACTCGAATTCCTCCACCTCTCCTGCACCTTCTGGAATCCCGACGCCACCGCGAGCTAAGCAAAACCGCAAAGAAGGCGTGGTGCTATACAGACAACCGCGCCAATGCCGGCGTCCAGCCCGACGCGCAGGGCACGCTGGGAGGAGTAGTTCTCTGTTGCTTCCCAAGAATTGCCCGTACGAAGGCCCAACTATAAGTCCCAGAGTGCACTGAGCTCGACAGCCTCTGGCGGGCCAGGTTTCCCCAAGACCTATGAACCGCTTCCTGGCAGAAGAGACCGGTTGTTGTGCCTGAACTACGGGAAAGGCGCACCGTGGGGCGTGGCTTGGGGGGGGGGAGGAACGCAGGGGAGTAGACCTGGGTGGGGGTGCCAGGGAAATCCCAGGGAGACACAGAGTCGGGAGAAGCCCCCATTCAGATAGTCACAGAGAGACACGAGAGACCCCCGAGACAAAGTCACAGAGAGATCCACAAACCCCCCACAACCAGATATAGTCATAGGAAGACACCGAGGAGGCAGGCCCTCAGAGATGGAGAGTTACAGGGAGACACGGAGTGGGGAGAAACCTCCAGAGACGGAGAGCTGTAGGGAGAGACACAGTGGGAAGAAGCCTCTGAGACTCACGGGGAGATAGAGGAGGGAGAAATCCCAGAGAGGGGGCGATCACAGGGAGACACCGAGGAGGGAAAGACTCCCAGAGACAGTCACAGGAGAATGCGGAGGGCGAAGAGACTTCTAGAGACAGAGTTACAAGGAGTCGGGAAGGATTCCCAAAGACAAAGAGGATCACAGAGCCAAAAAGAAAAACCCTGAATGGGTCCGAGAGATGGGGACAGAAGGAAAGAGGCATAGGAAAGGAGCGACAGGCAACTATTCAGGGAGAGCATCCCCTAGCGACAGAAGGGGAGAAATACAAAAGCAGGGAGTGACGGACATCGGAAAACGCTGAACTTAACTGGCAGAGGTGAAGCAGGGAACACATGTTAGTGGAGAAAGGACCGGGAAAGGCAGGGAGATGGAAACATTTCCAGTGCACCATGTGGGGCATGAGGAGAGATGTGAGCAAGAAAAGGAGAGAGGCAGATTGGGAAAATGGAGAGAAAACACAGAGGAGAGAAGAGAGAGAAGAAGAGACAAGAAACGGGAGAGAAAGATGGGACACACCCAGAGGGAGGCGAAGCTGTAAATTCAGAGATCAGAGAGCAAAAAAGAGCCCGCAGCATCACGGGAGTGAGACGCTAGCCTCTCTGTTCATTCGGAAGTCCTCAGCACTGAACATAAGTTTCTTGATTCAGGGATTAAGACCAGAGACCCACAGATCTAGCCCAGATTCAAGAGCCTGACAAGACCGACCCATGCAACTGAGTAGGGAGGAAAGTGGAGTGTGGGGGACCAGGATGACAGAATGGAATGGATTTGGAGAGAAGGGGATGGACAAGTCTAAGAGGACACACCCTACCTGCATATAGCCTGCGGAATGGGTGTGTGCACGTGGAGAGGAGGGAGGGACATCTGTCCGGGATTCTCGAGGGGGGGGGGGCTCCTTTAAGCTGAAACCCCGCCCCTTGGTCGTCATGGTAACGCCTCTCCCACCCCCCAACCCCCCACCCCCAGCTTCTACATTTCAGCAGGTGCCGGGAGTCGGAGCTCCCGCCGCCGCCGCCCGTGCCTACGGCTCTTCGGTGCCCCTGCCTTCTGCTCTGACCCCACCCGCCTGCTCCCCCTTCGGTGCAGCCGGTGACGGGGTGCTGCTTCCTACCCTGCTCCGCTCACCGTTAGGTGCC